ACTGACCTAGAAATAAATTCAGATCCAATTTCTTAATGTGAAGCAAACAAAAACTCAAAAGCAGTAAATTTTTCTAATTTAAGTAAATGATACCTAGGCATGATAGGGTTATAATTCATGTTCAAAACTAATAAATTCCGAAAAGACAAAAATGCATCCATTTGTTTTCTATATCATTACAAAAGACAGAAGGGCATGTTTAAATCACTGACATGGTCAAGAGACAATATTCTATTGGTCTTTGCAGACAATATTCTGCAAAGTATTACATGAGTTTTATACAGTAACAACTTTTTTTCTTCATATGGTAACAACTTAAAGTCCACATTATGCTCACCATCAAGCACCTGTTAGCTAAAGAGGCTCAAACATTTTAATACATGTAATATTTAGATTATAGTTCCTTGGTTGTCAAAAATAGTGATTATTGGTGCCAAATAAATGAATTAAATTAGTGCCAAGTCATCTCAGCAAAATGGGAATACTGAGGATCTACCAATTATTATTATCTTACAGTATTATAGGAATTGAAAGAAGTTATATATTTATGTCAATACTACATTTGGATGGCTACAGTATATATTTAAGGATGGCTTTGTTTAGGAGACTGGAAAAATGCTCATGGAATAAACACTGTATCTCAATGTCATAGGTCAACAGACACAACTGTATCTGGTGGACACATACAGAAAATGGCAACTTTAACAGAGGCGTGCTTCCAAAGGCACCTTTAGAGGTGGCTGAGGTTTTTCCACATTACAGAAAGACTAAGTAATATGGTGTGGCTATCTTAACTGAACTTTGTTTCAGGCAGTTATGGTACATGTTACCTAACTACTATTCCTTCTGCCCACTATGCTGGCTCCAACATTCCATGATCCATTGTAATCTTTTGGTCTTCCCTCCTTTGTAGCATGGGAGCCAGTGCTGCTATCCATTGAGTAGGTAGACCACCAATTCATAGGTGACCATCATAATAGCTGTGTTTGGAATCTGTCTCACCAAATGAGTTGTTAGACCACGGTAGAGTGACCCATAACCTTCTTCTTGAACCACCAAAGACAGTGTCTGAAAAAACGATCTATATTTTGTTCCTTCTTCACGTAATCTTGTTCTTACAACTTCTGTTTAGGAAAAAAATAAAATTAATTTAAAAATTACTGATTTCTTTATATTCTCCTGATATTGAATGTATCACATTTAATATTTTAAGTAGCTCAGGATAAATGAATTTTAATATACAGCTTAAAGAAAGTAGTCATATTATAGTAACAGTAATATAGCTCTTATCTTCTACACCGAAGTAACAGCTGTATTTAAGATAAACACAAGGGAAAGTAGATGTGATAAGGACAAAAGTATGAATGAACAGGAAGTAGAGTAATTAATTAAAGATGAACACAGAAGGATACAGTGACAGACAAAATTTTTTTATAAGCAAACAGTACAAAGAAAATGTTATTAATGTACTCACAGCAGTCCACATATACTAACATAAAACAACATGCAGACAAAGAAGTTGAGGATGTCTAGGACACTAGCTTCCAGGGATAAAGCCAAAGTGAGAATCAAGTAAGCAAATCATAACATTTTAATAGTTGAATGGATCTTCAAAGTCAGCCCAATTTATCTTCAGTTTAAATATAAAGAAACTGAGCTGGGGATAAAGCTCAGTGGTAGAGAACTTGCCTAGCATATGTGAGGCCCTGTGATTAATGTACAGTATGAGTGCCAAGAAAGAAGACGTGAGGGGAGGAAAGGGGATAGGAAAAGAGGGGTGGGGAGGGGAGAAATTAAGTTACTGAGAGGTTTTAGCCATTTAAGAGTATAGGCTGACATAAAAATCAGTTTTCTATCTAAGAATTGACTGCTCTTTATCCATTCGCTCTCTTTTTCCCTAGCAAAGTCCCCTTATGATTCTGAGATGAAGTCTAAAGCAGCCCATGGCAAATGCACACTTTTATTGGAAATCCTCCCCCCCAATATATATACACACACACATGCTTTTTGGACTTTTTGAGACAGAGTTTTACTTTACAATTCAGGCTGGCCTTGGGCTCACTTTGTAGCCCAGGTTGGCCATGAACTCATAATGATCCCCCTGCCTTAGAATCCCAAGCACTGGGATTACAGGCATGCACTCCCATGCCAAGTTCTCTTCTACCTTAAAAGTCTATGACATTTACATACTGAACTCCAAAATTTTATAAACAGTGTTTCTGGTGACATCATCTTGTCACTTATACTCACATTAAAAGAAAACATATCAAAATATCTTAAGGTTATACTTTTAGAAAAGTTACCAAAAAACCTTTTAGCATGTAGTTTTTGAACAATTTTTTCAGTTAGAGACTAAATAACAAAATCTAATGAAAAAATATATAATGTTAAAATAATGTAAAAATAGTTTGCTCTTTAGCAGTACAGACTTTATATTAGACTCTACCATTAGTGTAACCTTGAGCAAATTATTTTTTACATTTTTCGCCCTCAATTTCTCATTTGAAAATGAAGACAATTCTGGTTAGAATCTAGTATACTTAGAAAAGAGTAAATATTTTGGAAGATTTTTATAAAGACTGGCAATCATTTAGTAAAATGTTTTAAAAGTAGAAGCTTGCTCAAAGGCCACCTAGCTAGGGTTAAGTCAAACTGGAGTTTCACTCCCGGGTTAGAAACTGACTATCGGACTCCAGAGCTCATGCTTGGCGGCTACTGTGTGCATGACAGCCCACACTGCCCTGCTCCTCCAGCCTTGGGTTACTTACATTTAATCCCATTATAAGCTGCGAACAACTGTGTTTTCTCATGTTTGAATTAAGTAAAATTACACAAACTATAAAGAGCAGGACATCAGCTAGGATGAGAGTATGTTTCCATATCACAGAACTTACTGAAATAGACCTGCTTCTCTTACCATGTGGATATGCTATAGTTGTAGCACAAGTTTTTGAGGTGGCAGCAGCAAGCATCATTCCCACAAAATCTGATGCTTCTTTCACAGACTCTTCAGCACTTTCCATCATTGACACAGTCTTACAATCAAGCAATTTTTGCTTGATACTTTCATAAATAACAAAATGGATAACAGTTTCTGATATGCCAGCATATGACGCAGACATGCCCCTGTAAAATCCTTTAAGTCCATCTGCCTGATACACTTTACGGACACATTCAAAAGCACCCATTTGCTTTTCCCCACGGTTCCTAAAGAGAAAAGGGAAAATGTTATTGACATTAAGTGCGACAGGGTTTTTCGTCAATACATTTTTTTAAAAATAGCACTAATAAAACATGGTCTTCTTTAACTCATGAAGTGAAATTGAAATTTCATTCAAAAAATATTTTTGTTTTATTTGAGACAAGGTCGCACTTTGTGGTTCAAATTGGTCTTGAAATCGGGGAGATCCTCCTGCCTAAGCCTCTCCAGTACTGGGATTACAGGCATGTGCCACCACACCCAGCTGAGATCAGAATTTTTTTTTTTTTTTGGCAGAACTGGGGATTGAACTCAGGCCCTTGCTCTTGCCTGGGAAGCGCTTATTCCACTGAGCCATTTCCCCGGCCCTTGAGATCAGAATCTTAAAGCATTCATTCTTAGCTTTCTTACTTTTCACCCCAAATTTATCATTCTGTTTGGATAACATATAAACGGTTTCTTTTACTGACTGTAAAATACTGATCCTTTGGTTTCACATCCTCCCAACTGGAATTACGGTGTAGAGATAACCAACAAGTTCCTATAAACTCTACATTTTGACTGGAGTTCATTCAAAGCAAAAACAAAACAAGTGTGAAAACACCTTTACACTGTACTAATTCTAGTTCTAAATAAGTTGAATTTCTTCTTTAATAACAAAGAACAATGATGGAGCCACCAACTATAATAGTACACAATAAAGCAAGAAGCATGACTAACTGCATGTCTGTGCACCTGGGGGGAGTTCTTCCATCTCTACCAAGATTTTCCCTCAAACATGACTGGGTCACTAGAACTCAAACTTTCTATGGTCATTTAAAGGCAGTGGTCACATCACTCTCCCGGTGAACAGTGAGTGAGCACCTGTACAGCTATCAAGTATTCATTCAGTATTACTCCCAATGCAATTTCCTCAGTGCTACTTAATGGTATAGTAGCTGCTCTGGAAGGGGACAAATCTACTGTAACACATGTGATTTCGCCTTCAGACTGTTACCTATAAAAATGAGTTTAAATGCTGCTAGAAGGGAAAGAAATACAAAATAGTCTTATTTATAAATTGTATCTAACATACCTCTGACATAACCACTGAGACCACAATTAAAAGACCAACCTGATAACTTAAAGGCTCCTCCAATTTTATCAATTAATGATTTTCTTTAGATACTGAATACCTATGTAGTGTGCCCCACTACCTATTACTATTTTCTAACAGAAAGTTAAAGGATTACATAAGAGTGAAGGTAAACACACCAGATCTGCTCTTGATCTCAATGCTATGGTTTTATAATACTAGAATGTGGACTAGCATGCCATACTTTAACCCTTGGGAAAAGTTTTAAGAAATAAACCTTGAGTTTTGGCATAATATTTAAAGATCCCATCAAAAGGACTAGACGAGATGAAACAATTAGGCATTTTTTTCAACTCCCCAAACAGCATATAGCTCAACTTGACAAAATGTAGAAAAGATGTTTTAATCAGGCATAATTGTTAATGATTGGCCACTTTTATTTATAGCCTAAAAGACATAACAATGCTTATCAAACCCCAAAATACTAAAATGGTAGAAGTATGTTGTACATTAAGCCTACTCCAGATTTAAAGCCTAAGAGAGTTTAAAACCATTTACATTATTATTACTCTATCAGATAGGTATCAGCTAGTCGCTGCAATGCTCCTTCTGGTTTTCTTATTGCTACACATATGCCTAAGATCCTATACCTCTGGTCCTCTAAGGTTTGCACTAGTCTTTTGCTTTTAAAATGGGAAAACAAATCACTCCTTCATACATTCCATTTCAAGGTAGTCACTATTGATTCCTGGTTTATTTCCAGCATACAGCAGTATTTGCTCCATAGTTTAGAAGGAACACTACTACTGTGAAGTTGAGATAAAACATAAAATATATACGTACACACACACACACACACACACACACACACAGTGCTATCTCCAGTCCAAGGATCTCTACAAGAGGTCAGTGGATTTGACCAATGATTCTCAAAGATACACTACAAACTAGCTGATCGTATGACTTATTTAGCAGTTGGCAGGCCAATTATAAGCACTCATGTACAGCAAAGTATACTTGTTGGGCTGGGTTAATATCCTCTATTCCATGTTCAGAGGTTCCATGTTCCATGTTCAGAGGTTTTTGAAAGATGACTACATTGTGAGGGTGCTAGTCTCCTCAGTGGATCAATCAATTAAGCTCACAGCTGAGTGGGCCATTGGGAGGAAGCAGGTTACTGGAGGGTGTGCATTTTAAGAGTAAAGATTTTTATTACCAGTACTTTTCTCCTTCTCTGCCTCTTTTCAATCCTCCTACTCCTGGCTGTCACAGGATGAATAGCCTCCTTTTCATGCTCTTTCTGCCTTAGAGCCAGCAAACTATGGGCTGAAACCTTTGAAACTGAACCAAAATAAATCTCTTCAATTTAGGATATTCAGTACTTGGAAAGAAAAGGTGACTTAAAGACTACTTCCTTTCAGTTAAAAAACAACACATAGCCAAGCATGATAGCATATTCCTATAATCCCAGGTACTCGGGAAGGCTGACACAGCAGAATCCAAGGGCAGACTGGGCAACTTAGTGAGACCCTACCTCAAAACAAAAAAACAGAACAAAGCAATATACACTATACTATACATTTTTCAGTTAGAAAGTTTCATCCTGTCAACTATTATCACTTTTGCTTCAAATGACAGACTCAAATTTCAATATAAAATAAAACAAAATAAAAGAACAAATTTATCAGCAAAAGTTAAGAAGGGAAAAAACCATGGTGAGCTAGCAGGCATTGAAATTTTTCTGATATTAATTTACAGACATTTCATCAAATCTTCTTTGAAACTCCACATACCTTGCATCAAGCTGTAAACGAGTCTTTATAAGCCAAATGGGGTTGGTTGCAGTGATTGCAGTAAAACCTAAACAAATATATTTAAAATGAACTTCGGTAAAGCACACACAATTAGTTTTAAGGTTCTTTAAATTATATGGATCTATATTAAAGAAATTATAAATATTTAAACTATTGATATATGCTTTACATTTCATTTAACAAATCCATACAAACATGTTTTTATTTCCTGTCTACATAAATTCTCAAATTTTGACTTAAAAGGATTCTTTTAAGAGTTAAACCTGATCACATACAAAGTCCTCTCCCAACCTATTAGAATATCTTCCAGGATGTTCTTTACTCCCTAACGAAACTGAACTAAAAAATCTGTTTCCAGGAACAACCAGAGAGAAATTCTGTGTATTTTAGGGCTAAAAAGCATGCACTCTATAGCAGCTGCTTGAGGATGTGATTCTTGTCACACAGATCACTATATTAAAAATGAATCCTACATAAATGGCAGTGTTTATTAATATTTTGATCTGTATAACATAAAAGATTTGTTTGGCCCCATGAATACTTATCCATAAACAAATTTGCTAACACTATTAAAGTAACAGTAACATAGAAGTAAGGTTTCTGTTAAGGTTAATAGGACGCTTCTACTTTTTATCCACTTGAACAGGTACAAAAACTCAAAACATTACAAAGTGGGACTTCCCTCTCACTTTTACAGATAATGAAGAAAGTAAGGCAGAGTAGAAGATAGTTATTTATTTTAAAACTAAAGTACTATATAGTAACAATTATTACACAAGGGTAGTCACCCAAGATGGCTCAATTCCAGGTAATAAGTTAGGATCTCTGGAGCAGCATACTTCTAGGCTTATCTCTTACTTCCCATCTTCCTAATGTTGGAAAAACAGCAGGAGGCAAAATGCAATCTTGATGATGGGAACTTACTGTGTAAGACTGCTTCACCTACATAAAACAGGGTTTTCGTAGTTTGCTTTATGTTTAAGATTGGTTATACAAACTTCATAGAATATTCTCATACCAAGCTACTTTTATTCATCTAGCCTTTAAACTCAATTGAAAGCTTTTATGCAGAAATATCTAAGGATCTTAACTGTTTCAATATTCTCTGCCATATGTTAGCAGGTCAATCACATTTTAGAAAGGTGTACTATAATCAGAGTTAGTAAGTATTTTCAAGAAAAAAATTGCTGTGACTTAGGAATAGAATGGTACCTCAGTTCACAAACCTAATTTGTTCCATGATTCTGGAGAAGATTGCCTTGGTCATGTTCACCACCTGGTGCAGAGTTTGCAAACAAAAACAAAATCTTGACAAAAGCTTCTGTTTGTGAACCAAAGCATTTGTGAACCGAGGTAGCATTGTACTTTGTTTTTAAAACACATAATGTGAAACCAATCAGTTACTTTGTTGGCTTTCAAAGTTACCCTTATCTATGTATACAAAATAAGTTTACTACACTGTTAACAATACTGAATTTGGTCTCCTTGGGTTCTATCTCCTTGTATGGTGTCAGATAATTAACTCAAAATATACTTCCTTAATACTCTGTTTTAAGACTTGTAGAAATAGACACATTATACAAAGAGCTATTTTAATTAAGCCTTCTTAGAAAGAAAGATAAATGGAACTTTGTTTTTGTAAGTCATTTAATAATTTTATAAAAAGTATATAACCTCCATTTATCTTGAGTGCTTCTAACACTACATACATAAATATAAACTAGAATAGAAAGATAACTTCAGAACCATCAGTTAGTATTAAAATAATAAAAATTTAAATTGATGAAAAGTTACCAGGAATATCTTTTCTCAATGAGATTCTCTTCATGGATATATGTTGATAAAAGGAGAGAAAGGAAAAAAGCATAGAACTTTCAGACTAGTTTAAGTATTTGCCTGGCCTAGCCTGGTTTAACTGAGAACAAAGTTGCACAGTATTTTTTTTTTCCCCAATCTGGAATCTTTTTTCTAAGTGAAGAAGTTAAAGATACTCAAATTAAATTTTGAAGCAGGTATCAATACTCTGGCCAAATCCCAACTTAATTCTCATTTTTTAAATAAGAATTTTATCTTATTTCTTAGATATACTAGATGTTTGTATTGTAAGATAAGAATTTAAAGAGTTTATATCCAGCAAAGTATTTTACTTTGTAATAATTTTTAGCAATCATTTTTTAGACATTTTAAATGCAGAAACACTTTTTTTTATAAAGCCTACAATTGGAAATCATTTTTAAAAAGCCTATTAAAAAATTTCATTCATTATATTTCAATGTAAAGATGAGCATCACAATTTGTTTCTTTTCTCTTTAAGAATGTAAAGTTAGTACCCAAGATTCTCCATGTAATACTATTCCAATATGTCACAATTCCTCAATTTTAGCTGGGAAATACCCCCCCACATACGTACATATATATACACAGTAAAATTTTACATAACTAGTGATACAAAAGTTTAAATACTAAAAAATTATAATTTTAAATTATTCTGTGGGCATATTAATAAACAGTATTAGAAAGCAAACAACAGGTATTTCTCACTTAACTAAAATGCATTTCCAGGTGCAAATTAACTTATTTAACAGAGATCACATTAAAATTTAGGTAAGTGAGAATGTTGTGATCTTATCCCCTCTAACTGATTATCAGTAAACTATGCTTAATATAACTGTTACCTCAATTCTTAATAAAGACACCAGTCTAACAGCCAACAAACTATGAGGCCAAACAAAGAATGTAGGCATAATCTATAGGCTTTTAACTAAATGTCCTTCAACAGTTAAAACTCTGGTCAGTCGCTAACTTTCATTCTAATGCTTTCTCCTAACCAAAAAATATGTTAATACTTAGATATTATTAGGCTAAGTAAATTCAGAAATATATAATCTATTAACCCCAGAAATGGAACAAAGGGAAAAACCCCCAAGTTTATTACTGACTTAGAATTAAAATTAAACTCCTAGGCAACTGGAGGCTAGCCAAAGCTAAATATACCTTCACCTTACTAGATAAGCACAAGCAAAGATGCTGGGAATGCTGCTTCTGAAATTTAGAAACTGCCTATTACTTTTTTTCTTTTGCATTTTAGCTTTGAAACAGTTTGACAATGATAATTTATATTAATTACTTGTACTGTTATACTGTATTTTTAGTTCTGTGGTCAGTGAGCTTTAAAATTATTTAAAATGCAAATTTTTGAAGTTTGGTTTCACTTAACTACTTGGTAGTATAAATCATTAAAATCCAGATAGAAAATTCCTGATGAATTTCCTCACTGAAAATGTTTATTTCATTAAGTGAGTGATACCTGCAGTATTGCATTTTTCAGTACTTTGTAATTTTTATAAAAACAAAACCCATGTCAACCAAGAAAAACTTATTAAAAATATTTTAAAATTAAAACTAAAACAGCTAAGATCCCATGTATTATCTACTGAATTTGGAAAGTACTAATGATATTAAATACTTTTGCAAAAGAGTAGAAAGCCAAGTATCAACAGACAAGACAGGAAAGCACTATTATTAGATTTTTCAATATGTTAGCTAAGCAAAGAGAACTACTATTTTATCTAAAAGTTGTAGGACGGTATGGTACCATTTACAACTACACATATCAAATTCTTTAGAGGTCAAGGCTGTTATGGCCAAATTAAAGACCCCAAGCTTACATGATGACTAAAAAGTACCCATTCTTCCTTCTAGAAAGGATTACAAAGGGATCAGAATTTTTATAAAATAATAATACACACATAAATTCAGGAAATAAAAAAATCATTTCCCGCCTTCTATTAATTCCATATCTACTATAAAATCCCAGGGTGTGTTTCTTATACTAGAGGCTGCAAGAGATGCTCAGATCAGTACTCACGAGGTTTAAGTTAGTCCATATTTCTACAGGAAGTGACCTGCGGATGGGGAGCATGAGATGACACGATCTCACTCTTTTCTCGGGAGAAATGTACAGTAAATGCCTAAAATAGACACAGGCTTTTCTGTATCATAACAACAAGCAGTGACCTCATCAGAAACATGTGTACAAACTGAATCCCACTGGAAGGATTTGAGAAATATTTAATGTGAGATCTAATTTTTGTGAAACTTTTTAAGTTAAGAAAAAGAGAAAAGAATATCAGAATGGGCTTTTTAAAAAAAAAATGCACCGAGTAGTAAAAATCCCACCATCTTCAGAAGTTTGAGTCCAAATACTTACCCAAACCAATATCAATTCTGCCTTAAAGAAAAAATGCTAACCTTGTCAGAGGGTTTAAAAACCTGTTAAAACCGAAATATTTAGAGGGGATTATCATAGCCTGTTTTCCTACCATTACTAGCTTTTTTGGTCAAAAGGCTGAAAACACTATTTTCTATCCATTAACAACAAATCTATCTAAAGACAGGCTTGTAGTCACACACCTGTAATCCTGGAACTCAGGGAGGCTCAGGCAGGAAGACCCCAAGTTTGAGATCAGACTGGACTACATATTGAGTTCAAAGCCAGAGTGGATCACATAATAAGACCCATCTCAAAAACCAAACCAAGCCAAACCAAAATAAACCAAAATAAAAAAACCTCCGAGAATATTCAAATAACTTCATTTTGGAACTATGTGTAAATTTTAAAATAAAGTAAGGCATTTTTACCATAGTACCTTTCACTTTTTGTACTCTAGCCAGTAATACTGTATATCCATATTTATGGAGTGTTTTGTGCTATTTTTTAATTTAATCTTTTATACTCTGTAAGACGGAAAACAGGAAGAATATTTATGCATAAACAAAGCATCTGTCCAACCATCCATCTGGCTGAATAAGCTGCATAAAAAAAAAAAAAAATAAGCTGCATAAAATACTGCATAAAAAATTTTACACATGAAGACAAAAATCTCCATTTAATGAGTAAAAATTTTTTCTTTTGGTTTTCTTTTTTTTGTGGTACTGGAGATTGAACTCAGGCCCTTGTGCTTGCCAGGCAAGTGCTTATTCTACTGAGCCATCTTCCTAGCCCAATGAGCAAATATTTTAACTGAATTGTAGATCAAACAGAAAAATTTATCTTGAAAAATAAATGTACCCTGTAAACAACCTATGAGGTATGTACAAAACATTAAATGACTACATTGATATATTAAAAACTGAGCATCAACTGTATGACTACATAACAGTAAAACTCAGAAATCATGTCCTTTACTATGTTGTATATAAGAGTATGTAAATACCAGATAAAAACTGGGAATTACTATATTGAAAGAAACCATTTATCTTTTTTCTATCTACATTTGTGCCTACACAGAGGGTATTCAAATTCATTTAAACAGAAGATACAAAACAAAGACTCCCTTAGTACCTGGGTAAATTTAGTCTGATGTTATATGCAGAGGAAAAATGGCAGGTAAAACATAAAGTCTTATCATCCTCATTATTGGAAAAATGTTTTAATGCATAACGTTTGTATCTCCATCTTAGAAACTTTTATTACATTCTTACAATTTTTACATTCACTTATTAACACTGAAACAAAAAAAGACCCACTCTAACTGTCCTTTTAATAAATGAAGTTTTTATATCTAAATTAAATGTGAGCTGATGTAGATAAAAATGTAGAACAAGACTGAACTGAGGTTACTTGGAATATAAATTATGCACCTGGGTGCCTTACTAAATCCTGAATATGCATGCTAGCTGATATGGTGAAATCTCTTAGGTACTATTGCTAATTGTTTATTTCAGTGCATTTTTAATACTAAAGTGACAAGGTTAGCATTTTTTTCTTGAATAGCCAGTTAAAAATTATTATTTTTCATATGACTATCTGTAAGTATTTCATATCCCCGGAAACATTCATATTTAGACATCTCAAAACGATTGTGAAGAAAACCCAGAGCAATCTAGTCTAGATTAAAAATGAAGGGGCAAAAGGCTACCTGAATAAGTCTGTATTACACCATTCAGTTTCATCAGCATGTATAAAGAACTGCAAAGCTAAATGTTAGATGCTCATGAATAATGCAACAAAGCTCTGAAAGCATAATTCTCTGAACAACGTTAACTGCAAACAAATGGGAATATTTTCAAATTACACAGTAAGTGTAAAGAGCAATAAACTCTGAACAAGCATAAAACTATTAATTTACCAAAATTGAAGGAACTCAAGATGTGAAGAAATAATAACGTATAGAAAAAACCCCTAAGTATTTGTACACATTTGAGAAAAATACAAAATGACAATTCTGAGGTTCTTTGTAATGTGATACAAACACAGTAAATTGTAATGAAATAACCTAATAGGATTCTTAATTTCTAGCCAAAATTAAGATATTGTGGACCTCTAATTTTGTAATTCTAAACAGGTAATATTCTCAACATAAAGCCATTGCCTAGATACTTTCTTGATTTTAGTTTTTTAAAGTAATATTGACATTTCTTTATAATTTACTGAGGTTAAAAACCACAATCATAAACATTGGTAATATGGAAATATATTTTTTAAAAATGCTAAGAAAATGGTCATTAGGTTTGTTATTGCCATCAACTTGTACCTTCTTACACTCAAATTTTAGAGGACAAATCATATCCAATTCCACACCTGTGAAAGCACATTAAATGCCAGTTATCAGACCATCTCCACCATACTAAATAAAAGAATTGTTTCTTAGTACCGTATGTATTCAGATCAATCTACACTATGGATTAAGCTAACAGAGGCTCACTTACATTACTTAAATTGCCTAACATATTGTTAAATCAAATATTCACTATCTTTAATGTTGTCCCTTCCCCTCCAGCTCTGTAACATTTATGGGTCAATCAAAAATTATTAAAAAAAAAAAAAAAGCTTTGAAAACAATTTTGTAAGGTGTATGCTAGCATTATATAGTAAAGGCATTCAACCTATCAGAAATGAGTGTTTCAAATTGATCTAATTTATTTCTAAGTAGAAAATGGTCATGTTTAAGACATTTGTGTAACACATAACTGACATTAAATTTGTTCATCAATAACTGATGAAAAAAAAAAAGCAGTTAACAGTTTGGTTTGTAAAGTCACAGCATAATTTGGAAATGTGAGATATGATGAAATATGTAAAAAATCTCAGAAAATTAAGGGAACTTTCAACTGAGAACTAAAATTCTTGGCTTTGTCTAACATGCATGGTTAGCAAATGATTCCAAAACCAAACGGCTGAAACCAATGTCACAAAGTTTAAGGCAGTACACAGATCTGGGACTAGTTGTTGTACTTCAGAATTGTAAAAATTTATCAAAGATCACAGATTTTCTGGAAACATTTCCATAACAAGCATGTATACAGAGCCAGTGTCTAAAATGCAGATGCTATCATCAAGTCATTTATATAGAATAAACATTAACACATTACTGTTTGAGTTATCAACACCAGCACTCACAAAAATTTCAGCACTTGAGCACAGGACAAAATGAATACTTTACCAAGAAATGCTGGCACATTTCAGACAGAAGCCAAAATATGCAGCAAAAAGGGAAAAGGCACTCACAGAAATTGAGGACAGCAAAGTAAATTACAAATCTATAACTTACAGTGTCATTATAGTTGGATTCTTAGAGCTGTTAAAAATAATCATTAAATATTCACTGGACTACACAAGGCAATATAAATATTGTATTCTCTGGAGCCTATCACTTAAAACTCCTAACTAAAAAAATGCTAAATGATGACAAACTTTACATTATCTAATTAAATTTGTTGTATACAAATAAGTATAAAAATCATCTGCAGATGTTAAAGTAAAGCACACTGGTCATCTTAACTTTTTAATATAAACTAATTATAATTCGGCATTAAGCCTTTTCACAAATGCTTTCATTGTTTAGAATCATACATTCATACCTGCCATTGCAGCTGAAATCATGTGAACCTGGGTTGAATCAGGATCAAATATACCATTCAACTTTTCCTTGCAATTGGAGTAAGCAGCAAAGTATAGTGCTCTAAAAGAAAGAATTAAATTTATCAATAAGCATTTTCTTTAGTTTATAAAAGTAAATGTAAATTCATCTTCCTAATTGTAGAATAAAATCATAAAGTCTTGGACTAGACTTTCTTAACAGTATGACTGTCATGTAATTTATGTTTCTCCCACAAATACTATCAAATGCTTTTTTTCATTAAAAAAAGACAAACATAAAGCCTCTAGCAACCATCTGCAAACAAACCAATCCCTGTCATAGCCACTTAGCAACTGACAAAACTTTTTTTTTTTTTTTTTTTTTTGTGGAACCAGGGATTGAACTCAGGCCCTTGCACTTGCCAGGGAAGCGCTTATTCCACTGAGCCATCTCCCTGGCCCCCTTTTTAAAAAAATTTATTTATTTATTTATTTAGTGTGTGTGGCCAGCTCAGCCCACCAGGGGGCGGGGCTGGCTGGCATGTGGTGCTGGGGGATTGAACCGCGGTCCCTGTGCTTTGCCAAGCCTGTTCCAAATAGGCGCTTTAGACCACTGAGCCATCTCTCCAGCCCCCTGACAAAACTTTTGATAACTGGAAACTCCATGAATCAATAAGGCTGTGAGGTCTGCACAATGCTAAGGCTAAAGTAGTTTGCCTAAGTAATAGCTTATGAGCACTTGAACTTTTTAGTGGTGAAAGGAAGGTAGAGCTGATCCAATTAATCAAAGTATGCATGAAACTATGAGATATGCTGTATAGTATAATCTTTGTATTACTCAGGATAATTCACAATTTTTTTTTATATATATTTTGCTAGTGGGGATTGTGTATGCTAAGCATGTACTCTACTGAGCTATACCCAGCCTCAAGGCATTCCTAAATAGATACAATAATCCCCACAATTAGGATAAGTTTTCTAGTGTTTGTAAACATTCTATTAGATCCGTGAATATTTTAACTTACTATCATTTCATACATTTCCTCTACCAGAAGATTTTTTATTTTTTAGGCTCTCCATGATATTTCTGCTATATGAAATATCCTAATATTTCTCAACAACTCCAATTATCTGTCCAAAAGAGAGTACAGTAAATGAGGACAGTTTCGTTATTATATCTTTAATGTGCTTAGGAAAAAAGTTGATTAGCAATTTCAAATGAAAAATTCCAACTTCATGAAAACAAAAAACAAGATACATTTGATGCTAAGTTGTGAATAATAATGTATTCCTACAAATGAGAAAATAGGCATGAATATATAAAACCAATTCACAGGAAGAGACATACAATATCAAACTGTAAGAAAGAGGGTCTAATTCATCAAACACTAAACAAACACCTATTAAAACAGTCACAAACCAGTTTTAGGGAATTTAACAAAAATGAAATAGGCAGATAGTAGCCAACACTGGTAAAGATGTGAACAAAGAGTAACTGAGTATAAAAACACCATATGCCTTTTTGGAAAGTAGACTATACTTTAGTTTAACTGTGCCATGCTTCTTTATTCAGAAACTCTACTTTAGGTAAACACCCCAGAAAAGTATACGCGATTAAGAACTCCAAGATATAGCTCAGATGTGCTCACAAAACTACTGGTGGTTTCAACAGTAAAAATGTGAAAACTATCAATAAAGAAATACTTAACTATGGGAGAGTAATACCATCCATGTGAAAAACACCCTACATATGGAAACATCTACAAGACAAACTATAATAAATATTTGGTATGACAATTTATGTAAATGATAATAAATATAAGTAATCGTATTTTAATTCATATGGCAATTATGGTGTGGCTACACATGCAACTGTTTTAATGAGAAGAGTATGTTGAAAACTATTGGGGATAAGATACAATGTATTTAAGGTAGAAAGTCAAACTTTATGCTAAATTTTATGTTATCAGGATGCAAAACAGACTATCTGGGATTGAATCTAGGGCCTTCACACTGAATTTCATCTTCTTCTCCTTCCTCTTCTTCTTCTTTTTTCTTAATGTATTTAGTACAGGGTCTACATGTAGATCAGACTCTGAGTGATTCTCCTGTTTTCAGCCTCCCAAGTGCTGGGATTACAGGTATGCACCACCATGCCCAGTCTCAATGGCCATCTCAGCACACCCTGGGGGAGGCCAACACAGCACACCAGGGATCGAATTCCAGTCCCCGTGCTCTGCCTAAGCAGGCACTTAAGTCTGCTGAGCTATCTGGCTAGCTCTATTTTAGAGTTCTTGCTCCTTTTTCTAAGCCTATTCTAAGACCTCTAACCCTAGGGAAGATTAGTTGTGGTGCTTCTCTGTTGTATGTAAAGGTAAAAAGATACAGATTTCCAAGGTCTTTAGTTGTTACAGTTAACATGGTAACTGAAAAAATATTTGTCTGGTTAATGCTCATCCTGAAATAGATTAAAATAGTTTCTTAGGGTTAGGGTTAGGGTTAGGGCTCCCATTTCCTGTTATGAGACAGCCAGTCCTGTGGGGATCTGAGGTGTGAGGCACTGTAGTGATCTAATGTTGCTTATGCAAAGGGGAGCCCACTGCCCCTAACTCAGATCTAATAATAGCTTATTCCTGGAGGTGGCAGTAAACTACAGGGGTCTGTAGCACATCCCAGGCTGGAAACTAAAATCACTCTGCTATAGTCTTTTGAGCACTGGCAGCATTTTCCAAAATTTTCCTTTTCCATTCTTCATAATCCTGTGTTACATCTTCATCTTTCGGTGACTTATGTGGGATTTCTTCTACTTCCTTTATTTCCTTTGACAACGATTCAACCACTGTCTTCTTTTTCTTCTGTGGAGGACTAGCTAAATCTCTAAATTCTTTGTCAATCTGCTGTCCAATCTTCTCCAGTTGCTTACAAAGTCGATCAAATATGGCTTTCTTTATACCGGCCATTGCTACCATTTTGTTTTTATCCACTTTTACCTTTAGAATCCTGCATGCTGAAAGTAGTGCAGCAGTGGTGAAAAGTGGCCTGGATAAGTCAAGATCTACTTGCGGTGTCTGGTGAAGACGGGACTCATAGCTTTGCAGTATCTTTGAAGCCATGTTGACTACTTCTGTACAACTCAATTGTACAGCTAGGTCTTTTATTCCAATATTTGAATTCATGTCCAGCAAACATTCATAAAGATTTAAGACAGCTCTGATACATCTTCTTGTTCAATCCAGAAAGCTTAATTAAATAAGCCTTGTCCAAGGGGCACTTCATAGAGGCAGCTGCAAGGTCCAAGCACATGATGGCATTGCTAGTTTCTGTGGTATGTGCAGATAGACCAGTACACTTCACCTGAGACAGTACTCCTCTGCTTTCCTCAGCACACTGGGGTTGGCAAGGCCCAGGCGAGGGGCGAGGCGTTCAATTAGTCCTGAAACCATGGCGCCAGCAGGAGCAACCCGCGCAAACAGCTAGAATGTACCTTACTAAAAAAAAAAAAAAAAAAAAACCCGTGCAAACAGCTAGAATGTACCTTTTAAAAAAAAAAAACAACCCACTCAACTATGAGATTTAGTGAACACTAAACAATACGCAATTGAATCTGGACTCCCTGAAAAGAACTGGAACTAGGACAATAAATATAAGGAATGGTTTTACAGTGACCACGGAGACCTGCGTGTGGTCGGGCTGCTCTGAACAGGCCAACAGCCTACCAAGCCAAGTGCAGTCACAATGCCTTAAGCTATGATGCATTCTAATTTCAAACTCTGATGCTGCAGAGAAGGACCGTCATCTCCTGATCACAGGCCCATTCCCTGTCTATCCCTTACTGAGTCTCACAGCTACGACCTCAGGAAGAGGCACAGTGGTGAAGCTGGAAAGGAGAGGACTGCTCGGAGCTCAAGGAGAGTGCTGGTAGATTTAGTGCAGGGGAAAAGCGGTCAGAAAGTGAGCTGTACTCCAAATGTCTACCACGCCACCCATGATATTATGTCTTGGGGCCCCTGATTCTATAGCCCATAAGCACATGTCCATATCCTAAGTGAAGTGGCCCTGGACAGCAGTGAAAGTAGCACCACCTAGCATGGGCTGGCCACCTGTGCCTGCTAAGGAAGTCCATCCCAGTAGCTACCTTTGGTCAACTTTGACTCCTCTCTGCTTCTGCTTCTTCCTCTTGCCACCTTCTTTAAACCCTGCTGAGCTCATGGGGGCATCCCCGCTGCTCGGCCTCCATGGCCTGTCCTGTTTCTCTTCCTCCTCCAGCATGTAGTGTGGCAAAGACCCAGTCACCAGTGTGGGACAGGGCAGCTTTGGCAGGTGGGAGCTGGAAGGCTGGGCCTGCAAGCATGCTGGCCTTTCTGCACGTACTTGGCGAGGGCATCCTCATCAGCCACACCACTTATTGTTAGGGACTTTAACTGTCCATCTTCTTCAACTTTGACTCCTCCTTGACCATTCTCAACAATTCTCTTTGTGGTGATTTTTCTAGCATTAACGATTTCAGTAGAAGTTGATAAAGATTTGAAGGTACCCATCCCACTGCTGCCAAATGATGTGGATGAAAATGAAGTGAGGTCCCCATGACCTAGGGATCCGAATGAAGTAAATCCTATATTAAATGAAGAAAATCCATCTCCAAATGATGGAAATCCACTGATGGTGAAGAAAAAAAAGAGCCTGAACCATGGCTTCTGCTTCCTTGGGGACCCCTTCAGTTCCCAAAAACGTCTTCAAATGGGTCGTTCCCAAAGAAGTCCAATGAAAATGCGTCCCTTCCATGAAAAAACTCCCTGAAGACATCTTCTGGGTTCTGGAATGTGCATCCAAACTCAAATGGACTGTCAAAGTGACGTCCACTGTCTCCACCACCATTTAATTCTTCTTTGCCATATCTGTCATAGATGTTCCATTTTTTTTTTTTTTTTTTTTGCATCTGATAGCACCTCATATGCTTCAGCCACTCGTGTGGATTTTCGCTTAGCTTCTTCTGTATTCTCAGGATTATCTGGGTGCCACTGCAGTGACGGTTTCCAGTATGCTTTCTTGTTGTCCTCGGGGGAGGCGTACCTCTGCACACCTAGAACTTCATAGAAATCCAACATGTTTGAACCGTGCCAGGGCAAGTCAGAGGACGCGGATGACCGCTGGCGAAAAGGAGGAGGTGTGTGGCTGGTCCCCTCATGGCTCTGGTATGGTATGCTGGAGATGGCTGTGGTAGATCCTCATGCTTTCCTTTCTCTCCTCTCTGGGAATAACAAACAGGAATTGCGTCCCACAGCTTTATTCTGCCTCAAGAATCTCAAATTCATCCACAGAAATTTTATTTATGAAGAATACAAATTAGAATTAAGACAAAAAATTACTTTCATTTTACAAAGTAATATGAATTTCAGTTTTTGTTGTTATAGTCTTGTCTTCCAACTATTCCTATTACCAGATACACACATGTAAAACTGGAAGAAAAAAGAAATGTATAAGAAATTAAGACAAAAAAGATAAACAATTGAAAAAAGGAGTTGAAATAAAGCATTATTTCTTTCCAGAAACCGGCAGAAATGTACAGTACAGTTACCCAAACCATCCTGCTTACATACAGATAAATCTCTTTCCCCCACTCCCTCTCCTGTCTTTCTCAATTCAGTAACTCTTTCCTTTTGAATAAGTTCATTTCCTCTTACGAGTACCTACTGTACCCTTCAGATTCCATTTTTCCCTTTCGGGTTCTCACACTAAGGAGACAATATGATGTTTGCACATGCACATCTGATCTATTTCACTTGAAGAGTACGTTCTCCAGTTGCATCCATTCACAAAAAGTCCCAAATTTATCCTGTTTTATAGCTGAATAATGCTCCATTGTGTAAAAATACCACATCTTCCTTATCCATTCTTTTGTTGATAGGCATCTGGGTTTTTTCCAGGATTTAGTTATAACAAACTGCTCTGCTATAAACATGGATGCACATACATCGCTGTAGTATGAGGTTCTTAGTTCTTCTGGAAAAATACCCAGGAGGAAAACAGGAGGCCTGAATATATACTCCAATCCTAGCTTTTGAAGTACTCTCCACACTGATTTTCATAGTGGTTGTACTAGTCTGCACTCCCAGCAGCAGTGCAGAAGTGTTCCTTTTTCTCCACAGCCTCTCCAGCATTTGTTATTGGTTGACTTCTTAATGTTAGCCATTTCTTCTGGGATGAGATGGAATCTCAGTGTTGTTTGAATTTGCATTCCCCAAGTGACCAATGATGCTAAAAGTTTATTTTTCATATATTTATTTGCCCTTTGTATGTCTTCCCGAGAAGTGTATTTTCATCTCAGATACCCATTTTTGAATTGGGTCTTTGAATTTGGGGACCTGTTTTTTTTTAATTCTTTGTATGTTCCAGATACATACTGCCTTTGAGAAACAGTGGGCTATAATTTTTCCCCCAGTTTGTTGGTTTTATTTTTACTCTGTTGATTTGCTTTGAAGTGCATAAACTTTTCAAAAAGGTGAGATCTCAGTTGTTGAGACTTTGAAGTATTTCCTGTGCAGTTTGTTTTTTGTTCACGAGCTCTCTACCTACCCTTATGTCTTTAAGATTTCTATATTTTCCACCAGAAGATTTAGTGTTTCTGTTTTAATATTTATCTTTGATTCATTTTGACTATAGTTTTGTACTTGGGCATCATCCACAGAATTTTAAAATTTAAAACTTACCTATACATACAATGCTTTTCAAATTTCTACTGTTATGTCATGCTGATTTAAGAACATTTCATTGCATTCATATTATAATAATTAATTTCTAACAGTACTGAAATTATTTAATCTCCAAAATACTCAGTATCCATTTCTTGCTATCAAACATTACTTCATAAATTTGTTCCCTTTTGGTACTGGAAATTGAATTCAGGCAGGCACTGTGTCACTCATATCCCTGGCCCATATATCTGTTCTTGTTAGTACCTGAAATCTTTAAAAGGAAAATCAAATTTCAACTTTCCATAAACATTGAAAACTACATTTATAATGCTAAGTATATGTAAGTGATTAAATATAGATGCCTTGAAGCAAAGGTTCTCATACTTTTGCATAACCTGTATGTATTTTTTTCTTACCTGGAAGGGGCCACCCCCACTATATTGGGGCCCAATCCTCTAAACAAAGAACGGGGCCCTTCTTTTTCCAAGATCACCCTAAAAGGAAAAAAAAAAAGAGAAATGGTCTTCAAAGTCTGGTACTTTACTCTGCACAATAAAGATTAAGACAAATTCCCAAACTAGAATATACTTTCTTAGCCATTCTCCTTACTTATGAAAATCTGTTGTTTCTTTTTTCATGACAGCATAATGTGACCACGACTGGCAACAGACTTACTAATGATAAAAAGAATAATTCTGTTCAAAGTCTTTTCTAACAGATTAAAGACATCACCACACAGATTTTTATACTTTCTTTTTATACTGATTTTCATATAATCATGCTACTGTTACTTTTCAATCCTCTGTTTTACTGTCTTTACTAGAAAATTCAATTTTTAGTCAGAAACATAATTCCTTCCTAGTTTTTTTACTTCATACTAAAGAATATTCTTGGACCGGAGAGATGGCTCAGTGGAATAAGTGCTTCCCTGACAAGCTCAGGGGTCTGAGTTCAATCCCTGGTTCTGACAAAAAAAAAAAAAAAAAAAAAGAAAAGAACATTTTTTTAGTGTTATAGTATTATGTCATCCAATGATCCCAGAGAAATACTACAGCAAAAATGTATTGCCCTAACATTCTTTAATATGGTTCACTTATTTATTCTTCTGGTTAGTTAAAATACACTTATTAAGTATTTACTCTATTGTTATAAAGAGTTCTTTATAAGTAGGCAGAAAAGAAAGAGAAAATGAAGTGGATGGCTATTAACATTGAGAAATCTGTTATCCAACAGTGGGGGAAAAAGTTATACTTAAATAATTTAATAAGCCATATTAATAAACAAATATTGCACAAGCTAATCACATATATCCTGCCCCTACCCCAAAGATAGACACGTTTTAGTATCAGAATGCTTTCTGATGTTTGTAAATAGGATATCATGTCTGCATCAAAACAAGTATCTGATGTACATCAAATAACCACTAGGAAGACAGTATACAATGTGTTAATTATTGAAACTGTCCTACCAATTTGATTTGAAACTGTCTCATTGCTGTTTGTTTCTCAATAAAATTACGGGAAAAAAAAAAGAATGCTTTCTGAGGGCCAGCCAAATAACTCAAAGGATTAAAGCACCTGCAAGCAGGTGCAGGGGCTAGGAGTTTGATCCCCGGGCCTGCCCCGGCCCCGGGGCACAGTGAGACAGCAACTGAGATTGGGCATGGCGGCACGCACCTATAATTCCAGCTCTTGGGAGGCCGTAAACAGGAGGATCACTAGGAGTCCTATCTAGTAGTGAGACCCTGAATACCCTATAGATCCTACTACAAAAAAAAAAAAAAAAAGAAAGAAAGAGAATGCTTTTTAAGAGGTAAGTTATTTAATAAAGTATCATAGGAAAGAAAAGAGATCGGAGAAGTATGTTTGTTTGCGAGTTAATAAACTAGGTAGGCCAAACGATTCTCAAACATCCATACGGTGAAGAAAGGTCTCTCTGAGCACAATGGTTAAATATTTGAAAGACTGAGCTGCGGGATCAGTCTTCTAAAATCCAGAACTGGTAACAGATTTAAAAAGTGACTAAATTCATTCTGGTTTTAGAAGTAAATAAGAAAGGCGGGCTGGCCAGCTAGCTCAGCAAACTAAAGCGACTGGGGGTTGGATCCCTGGCATGCCACTCCAGCCCCCACCCCTAGGGCATGCTGAGACAGCAACTGAGACTGGGCATAGTGGCGTGATCCTGTAATCCCAGTGTTTGAGAGGCTGAAAACAGGAGGGTCACTATGAGTCTGATCTACATAGTGAGACCCTGTACTAAATACATTAAAAAAAAAGCAAAACAACACCAAGAAGAAACAGTATCTCTTCTTGGGCTATTGTGAGGGTTAAATATAGAATGAGCTTAAAATAGGGCCTAAAAAACTAAGAACCCAAAGGGGATTTTTAAGGTTCCTTTGGAAAAAAGAAAGCAAGAACAAAAGAATATATCATAGAGGTCAAAGAAAGAATTTCATAGAGACCTAATCAGTGGGTTATTAATGTCAAAATCATGTTATTAAAATACTTTTCCTATTATTAATCACATTGAAGGTTTTTTTTTTTTTTTGGTTGTTTTATTTTTTCTTTTTGAGACAGGGTCTCGCTCGCAGTTCAGGCTGGCCTTGAGCTCATTTTGTAGCCCAGGCTGGTCCTAAACTCACAATAATCCTCCTGCCTCAGCCTCATTCTTCCTGGCTTTAAGTATTTATAATGATTGCATTTTCATTTGAAATTGTCAACAATTTATTCTACCTTTCAGGTGCTTAAGTAACCAAGTTTGAAAGAAGCATGATGAAATCTGGGTAGTGAAGGTAAACACACTAGCTAAGTTTATTTTCTACAAAATAAACACTACTGAACTAAGTTCAAATAGATTAAGTCCAATTGAGCTGATAAGGTAGACACACAAGTTATTCAGTCACACATACAAGTTTGAATATGTGAAATGTGGTTTTAGTAGTTTTGAAACTTCAAATCCGATTGCAACCAAATAAGTATAGAAAAATGTAAAAGCAAATTTCTTTAAGCTATTAAAAATGTCAAACACATTGAATAGCTTTTTAAAAGTCATAATTGTGTTGCAACTTAGGTTTAGGTTAGATAAAAACTGTTAGCTGCAATTATTAAATATAATTACATGTGTAAGTACCTGGAAAACTAAAAACACAGAGTTAGCGTTAAAGTGTTAACATTTCATTTCAAAAATGATTAAAAAACAAAAACAAAAACAAAAATCCCTGGAGTGCCCTGCCGGCCCCACCCACAGGCCTGATGAGATGGTGATTGAGATTGGGTGTCATGTTGAGACTGGACGTGGTAGCACATGCCTGTAATCTCAGCACTTGGGAGGTTGAAAACAGGAGGATCACTATGAGTCTGATCTGTGTAGTGAGACCCTGTAGACCATGTACTAAATACATAAAAAAAAAAAAAAGAAAAATAAATATGTGACTTGGAAATAGTATTAATTTTATATTATCCATCTGATGATCTTATTTTGGACTACCATTTCTAATGAATACAACTCAGAGTAACCTCTGTCATTCAGTTTCTAAGAACCTTTTAAAATGGGTCAAAGTATAAACATGTGGAAATCAACAAGGTAAACTAAAACAAAACAAAACAACATCAGAAATCTAGGACTGTGGTGCTCTCACTTTAGACAATGGAGGGGTCCAGGAGACACTACTCGGTTAACACTGGCTCCAGCCATGGCGTTCAGCTGAACTTCAGAGATATAAAGTGTCACAGAAGATGACTGCAACCGTGTTTTCACAACTTCCAGTGGACATGTCAGAATAGCTCCCACTGTGCCACCACATCTACAAAAAAAAATGAGAACACAACTTACAACTTACCTCTTCACTTAGTGAGTCAGTACACAGGCCCAGAGCTACAACCTATGTAATCACCTGAAGCTCTGCCAACTGTCAACTTTTAATGATTTTAGAAGACTAGATACATTTAAGTTTAATTTACTTGCATGTAATTGCCTACAGTTTTATCTACCCAGCAAAGATAACTGGCTCTGTTCAAACCTTGACCATTATGTTAAGTATATCCTATCTTTCAAATTTCTTTCTTTCTTTCCTTTTTTTTTTTTTTTTTTTTTGTGGCAGCCCCTGCATGCGGGGCTGGCCTGGCATGCAGTGCTGGATACTGAACCAGGGTCCCTACGTTTGCTTAAGCAGGTGCTTTAGTCCACTTAGCTATCTTGCCCGGTCCCAAATTTCTATCTTTGGGGGGCTGGGGAGATAGCCCAGTAGAATAAGTGCTTGCCTGGCAAGTGCAAGGGTCTGAGTTCAATCCCTGGTTCTACCAAAAAAAAAAAAAAAAAAAAAAAAAAAAAAAGAAAAAGAAAAAGAAAAAAAGAAAAGAAAAAGAAACAAACTCCTATCCTTTCAAACATAAGAAATGGGTTCTTAATCAGTTTAAGAATGAAATCACTGATAGCCATTTTTACTTGTAAGTAATTCTGGAAATGGCAAAACCAGGGGAGAAAACTGACAGGCAAAATTTCAATCAGTGAAGCAAATGGAAAAGAAAAGCTTAAAGAATGAAAGACTCACAAAGCTAAATACATACCAAACAAACAAAAAAAGTTTTATCCCAAAAAACTCCTAAGAAGCCTAATGAGTAAGGGCACCAAATACTTAAGGAGATAAAGCAAATAATTAAAAGTATGACAGGCTTATGGACCATAGAGCAAACATAAGTTGCCCCAGTGAACATTTGTTCTACACACACACACACACACACACACACACATGCACACGGTAAGTAAAACTATGTTCCTGGGAAGAAGCCTAATTCTCTGAAGAACGTGAACCCAAAACTGAGCTTTGTGTTCAAGTATATCCAATGTAAAAACTAAAAAAGCCCCCATACCTAGGATGCACTACTGTAATCTTTTAAAGTATGACAGGTAAGACTTCATCAACTTCCAGAATGACAGAACAGAAGCTCACACATAAAATCATCCAAATAGCATCAGATTTCTCAACAACTGAAGAACATTATCTAAAATTCTATATCAAGCTACACAGGAAAACAGACTAGACAAAGTACTCAAAAATTTTCTCCCTTTGTACCCCTTTCTTATACATAAACTGAAACCAAAACAAATTACCAACAGACAAACTACACCTGCAAACAAATATTCATGAAAGTATCCACCTTGTACTCTTTCTTACACAGCTAAGTAAGCATTCCACAAATTTAGGCAGCACCCTGAAAAAAAAAAAAAGTAAGAATGAATACAGAACAGAGTAATTCAAGAGAGAAAGGAGGTGTCCCTAAGTAATAGTGAAATGCCAAGCTTAAAATATAACCAATCTAGATGGGATTATAATATCAAGAGTTGAGAAGGACATCTTCAGGAAAAAGAAAAAGTCTGATAAATATACTGACTGTATGAAAGCATTCAATGATTTATGGCTATGGGGAGGCAAGGGGTCATAAATGCAGACATGATGTCTATCCAGAAGAAAGGCTTCCACCCAGGCCCAAAGCCAAATTTTATTAATTTGTGAGGAAGGGAGTGGCTTGAGGATGAGTGACTGTGAGAATGGCAGGAAAGAGGTGGGTGCTGTAACCTGGGCTAAGTAGGAGGCCTGACATCACCTCTGCAATATGCAGAGAGAATAATCTGTATAACACAGCTGAGATAGTATCTAATGTTCTAGGGTCGGTGCTTTAGCTCTGTGTAATCTTTCAAGTTCCAGGAAGTCATAGCTTTAATCCCCACTGACAGTGTAGAGCACTGATTGGATCTTTATTCTTCCTTTTCCTGGCTCACACAAGTAACAAGAAGGGGGGGGGGCACCTGTTGGCAAACATGCCTGCAGTTTTGAAAACTTATTATCAATACCATGCAGATATGCACTGCTTAAAGCTAACTGAAGAGATAAGGAAAAGTCCTAGCCAGCTCTGTATGTATCAATACATGGAAATAGGGCCAGGTGCAGCCAAAACGGAGACAATTGCTGTTCCTTCAGGAAGTCATTCAGATGCTTTTCCACAAAAGACTAGAAATTATTTTAGTCTTTCCCCACTCCATCATAAAGTTTCACAGCAATAAACACTAATTTAAATACTTTTATAGGAGGGCCGGCCAAATAAAGCTCAGTGGATTAAACCACCTGCAAGTAGGCATAGGGGCAGGGGTGGGGTTTGGTGCTATGGTGGCACATGCCTGTAATCCCAGCTCTTGGGAGGCTGTAAACAGGTGGATCACTATGAGTCCCGTCTAGTAGTGAGACCCTGAACACCCTTTAGACCTTTCCTTAAAATACAAAATAAATAAATAAATAAATAAACAAATAAAATAAAAAATACTTTTAGAGGACCGCCAGATAGCTCAGCAGATTAAAGTACCTGTTTAGGCAGATGCAGGGGCTGGGATTTGATCCCTGGCTTGCTAAGCCGCTGGCCCCGCCTGGGCTGAGATGGTGACTGAGACTGGGTGTGGTGTCACGCCTGTACTCCTAGAACTTGGAGGCTGAAAAACAGGAAGGATCAGCACAAGTCCAATCTGGGTAGTGAGACCCTGTGCTAAATACATTAAAAAAAAAAAAACTTTTATAATACTTAATATTTAAATAAGCAAATTCTTCACAAGCATTTACCTGCATAAGCGTGCTTTAATAAACATTAGCAAGATAGAATGATGTAGACTATACTAAGGCTGGAAAGGACCCAGAATCAGTAAGGGGAAGAAAACGAAATCAAGCCGACTAGCTGAAAAGCATATAAAAATTAGATAGGAACAAGCTATTGCTACCGAAATTAACAGCCCTCAGCTGGACAGTGATAAAATGCTGGTTCTACTCATTGTTTATTGTACGTAAAATTACAAGTTATGCCAAGTACTATTTAAGTACTTCACCTACTGATTTTTTTTTGGGGTCAGGACGACCAGGTACTGAATTCAGGACTTTATGCTTGCCAGGCAAGTGCATATGCCACTGAGCTATCTCCCTGGTCCCACTTCTTGACCTCAGTGACAAGAAGGTTTTTTTTTTTTTTTTTTTTTTTTTGTGTGTGTGTGTGTGTGTGTGTGTGTGGCCAGCTCAGCCCACCAGGGGGCGGGGCTGGCTGGCATGTGGTGCTGGGGGATTGAACCGTGGTCCCTGTGCTTTGCTAAACTTGTTCTAAGTAGGTGCTTTAGACCACTGAGCCATCTCACCAGCCCCGACAAGAAGTTTTTAGAAGAGAACTTTTTCTGTTGGAAGTCAGGCACAGTATAACCAAGAACTAGTTTGTAAAAAAATACAAAAAATAAAAAATAAAATAAAATCCTTGTAAATACATCTTTAAGGAGGAAATGCCTCTTTGCTGAGGCCCTCAAAGTTCTCTCCCACAGAAGTTACAGCACTGCACAGAGGAGCAGGAAGGGGTGGGGTGATGGGAAAGAGGAAAGAGAAATATTCAATCCTATCCTTTTTTTACTGCTTTGTGGAACACTTGGTTTAGTTTTCAGTGTTAAGAAAAGGATAAGATAGGAATACAGTGCACAAGGCATTAAGATGTGTTATGGACACTGGGCCTGCCAAACAGTTCAGTGGATTAAAGCACCTGATAAGGAAGATGCAGGGGTTGGAGGTTTAATCCCCAGCCTGCAGCGCAGCCCCCCCCCTTCCCCCCCCCCCCCCCCAGGGCGTGCTGAGAAGAGCTTGAGACTGGGTGTGATGGCCTGTGCCTGTAATCCCAGCACTTAGGAGGTTGAACAAGCAAATCACTATGAGTCTGATCTATGTAGTAAGACCTGTAGACCCTTACTAAAATAAAAATAAAAAATGAATGTGCTACAGACATGTACCAACTCCCCACAATGAATGTAATCATTATATATTGCAAATGTGTAGTACTAATAAAAATAAGTTTAGAAAAAAGAGCATGGCAAATATGAATAGCAAACAGATCAATTTCAACCAGGAGGAGCCGGGGAGATGGCTCAGTAGAACAAGCGCATGGGCCTGAGTTCAATCCCTGGCACCACAAAAAGCAAAAAACCCAAAAAAACAAAACCCAAAAAACAAAAACAACAACAACAAAACCCAATTTCAACCTGGAGGCCAAGACATCAACCCCTAAAGCAACAATGCAGACCTAAAACCAGCTGGAAAGCCCCACACCCCTCAAACATTAAATCCAGCTTCTGTCTTTGAAGGATTTTGCTAGCATGTGTTTAGATGTCCTCCCAATTCCTCATGTAGTCCACAAATGCAACTTTTTCAGAGGAGCCTCGATCTAGAGTGTGTGATGGTGGGATTAAGCGTTAGTGGTCACTAATCAGTCCACTGAGGTTTGGCAGGGCCCTAATCCTCATAGCCTAGACAGAGTACAAAAGGAGCAGAAAGAAGCTACTAATGTCCCTGCTTGCTTTGCTATCTTCTGCCTGCCACGTACTGTCTCTCTTCTGTGATGACTGTGTGCCATGCCACCCTGCCTTGGAGATAAACCTGTGGATGTTGGGTATTTTGTTTCAACAATGAGAAAATAAACTAAAACACTGAGCATACCCAGGGTGAAACCTAAAATATCTCAGGCTTGTTGGTGAGGCTGGTACAGCATGTGGTGTTGGGGATTGAACCACAGTCCCTATGCTTGCCTAATCTTGCCTAAGCAGGTCCTTTAGTCCGCTAAGCTATCTTGCTGGCCCCTGAATAGTCATTTATTTTTGTTCTGGGACTTGAACCTTGTGATTGCCAGGCAGGTGCTTTAGCCCAAGCAAGCCATGTATGCTTTAAAAAAATACGTTCAAATTCATTTTCATTAACTTTAAGCAAAATTTATTTTATCAGGTAACTGCAGGTTTCAT